AAACAAACATACCGTAAATAAAAAACCATAAAAGGTATGAAGGAGAGTTCCACTTGACAAGATACCTTTCACTTTGCTCCAAGCATTGGCAATCACTTTACAGTGAATATATTTCCATTACAATGATACCATCCAGTTCTTCAGCAGCTCTGTAAAAACGTATAAGGTTGCCTCACCTTGCAGAATATGCTTAGTATTAGCCAAGTAATCATCTGCATGTGGGCTCTATGTACTTCTGAACAGCATTCTTTACAAATTGCTGATTTGTCATAGTTACAAAACAATATTGTTTAAATAAATAAATAAAAAATTAAGGCTATGATATTTAACCTATCACACACTAGTTTATGCTTCCTATCCAAAAGAAGTGAAACAACCCAATTCCAAGTGATATACATTTTTTTCCACAAAAAAGGGAAAATATTCTTCTTCACTTCATAATGGCAATCACGTTTCTCCTTGGATCAACATCTCAATCATGTTATTTATAGTCTTGTATATTCTGTTTTTCCAAATAAAGCATCCACACCTTTTTGTTCTAAATTGACATGCCAGTTTAGCATAGCACAGCTGCTACAATGATCAACAGGGGTAAAATAAATTCCAGCCACTATTTCTCCTGGGAATATTTTGGCCAAATTAGTTTTGAGAGCAGAATACTTTTTTTTTTTATCTTTGACATGTAGAAACATTTCTAATTTGTTAATTAAACAAAAAATGTACCCCTGCTCATAAACACAGCATTAAAGGAACACTCCACTGTTAAAAAAATATTTAATATTGTGAAATTTTTTAACCCTTGTAGATTCTAGGTGTCCTCTAAATTAACATAAAAATAAAGATTACTGGGGGGCGGAGCCTGGCAGCCATCCTGTTAAGACGCCATCTAAAACTGCTCTCCCGAACCCGGAGAGAATCGGCCTAATACCCGCCAAACAAAGCTTTATCGTGCCCCAACAAGTACCCAGTACTGACAGGCACTAAGTACCGCACCGATCGATGCCTTTTTTCCAGGCACCCAAGCAGACCAGGCAGAAGCGCAAACCTGCGGCCTACCGTGCAACTCCAATCCAAGACCTAGAGGCCTACCTCGGCGGCAGCCTCTGGGAAGACTACCCATCCAGTCGGGACACAGGCACCACAGTCATGCGTCGCCGCTCTCACAAAACCACAGCTGGTCCCAACATACAAGGCAGAGACATAGGGGAGATGTGGCTCAGGCCTGCACAAACGGAGCCAGTACAGGCCGCGCAACGACTCTCTGCGGACTGAGCACCCGAACCTGACGGGGGAGAGCCGGACGAGATAGCGGCCTCCCCGACGGGACACTCACTAACACCGGAACACCGGGATGATTCAGCCCCCCGCTACTAAAGGGGACCTAAAAGCCCTCCTGACCAACATACAAAACCTGCTAGCGGCCGACGTCGCAAAGGTCAAGGCTGATATTCAAAGTGTGCAGGAGAGGGTTGGAACTGCAGAAGTAGACATCACCAACATTCAGGGCACAGTGTCCACCCTCATGGACTCAGTCAACCGACTCCAAGCAGAGCAAAACGTACTAGCAGGTCAAATCATGTCCCTGGAGGACAAACAACGACGGAAGAATATCAAAATCAGAGGTGTCCCCACCACAGTAACGATTTAGGAGCTACCGCATTATACGCGGAGACTGCTCACAACACTACTACCCCAGGCATCCGCCAAGAAAATATCAATCGACGGGATATACAGAGTGACAAGCTCCACACACTTACCATCCAGCATGCCCAGGGACGTCATTCTGCGTCTGGCATCGGTACCTGACAAGATACAAATAATGACCGCCATTAAAGGCAAAACGCCGCTGGTATTTGAAGGCACTCAGCTCTCTTTCTTCCAGGATGTCACCAGAGCCACATTGTTAAAGCGGAAGACCTTTGGACCCGTGACCACCGCGCTGCGCAAAGCAGGCATTACCTACAGATGGGGGAACACTGGTGCCCTGCTCGTTCACCACAATGGAACTGCACACCACCTCACATCCCCAACTGGGGCCCCCACTTTCCTGAAGACACTGGGACTACAACCCCCACATCTCACCTCCACGACTGCAGGTCGACCAGAGAGCGGGGACCCAGAGGACTGCCTTACTCCTGGACAGCCAACACGAGATCTACAGACTCTGGACACTTGACTGGGCACGGGGACAATATGCAAGACATGGCCGAAACCGTCAAACGGAAGTCCCAGACATCTCTTGACACAGAGCGATAACTTCAAAGACTTCTAACTCCACTGTTTACTTTATATATATATATATATATATATTTTTTTTTCTTCACTGCCCCACTTGGGTCCGTCCTTTTTGACCTTAACGCAACCGCAAATACGGGGCACCTACCCCCAGAGGAAAGGCAAACAACACCTCACGCACGATAGTATACAGGCGCTCACCACGACTAGCGCCACTCCGCCCACCCCACAACACCCCCAGGGATAGGGGGCTAGATGAGATGCCACACAGGGTACAGCTCAAACCGGAGCGCCTTACACACATGTTATTCCAACCACCCTGGTACTAGAAAGAGCTCCGCAGGCGAGTACACACAGGCATCCAGACCCACAAACCTAAAACCGCTTGCAACAATCATATACATGCTCCACACACACTGACACACCGCAACCCGAACCAGGGAGCACCCACACACTCCCACACTTGTAGTACACCAGGGGTATAACGCCCACAATAATGAACCTACACAACCCAGCAGACCCCAGGTATGCCACCCAACATGATGGATATATGAAAATGTGCTTACAACCTTGAAATATCAATGTTAACACTATTTTATTGTACTGCTTTAAATTAGCATACCACTGTTTATGTATGATGCTGTTAACGTGCCAAACCAAGCTCACATAAATAAAGAATTAAAAAAATAAAAATAAAAAAAATAAATAAAGATTACTGTATATTTATTCTCGATGAGGAAAGGGGCCTCGGGGCCTGGCAAGACCCAGGTAAGAGGGCATACTGTTAAATGAATACAATTTCAACAATATCTATTTGTCTGCCGAGAATATCTGCTTTAAACGCTTACAATTTTGAACAGCGGTACTTTCATTCCATTCCACAGATTGTTCATCACTATAACACTCCAACTAATAATCCCCTTTTTATCCAGAACTTACCTTCCTATGCAGCTTGTCGTCATACATTCTTTCCATAACTCTTTTATGGGTACATTAACAAATTCAAGGTTTACTGATATTATTCACAAACCGCTATACGAGACATGAGTTGAAGAACACATTAACGTGTATTGTCAGCTAACAGGAAAATACATAAATCGTTAATAACAACTTAAAAACCTAACTGTATGAACAGAAAAATTAAATAATAATGAAATTGCTATTATTCAACTGCATTAAAATATATTGTGCAAGAACAAATGATTTAAAGAGTATATAGGGAGGTACTAAACGGCCACAAGAGGCCCAAAATGACAATTTGATAGCCCTCCAAACTTCTGGAATAAAATGGAATCATGACATGTCACACATGTCATGTGTCCTTAAGGGGTTAAGGTCATCATATTGTTTCTAAGTTTATTACATTCAGTTGTTTTTTTTAATGGTGCATATTGATTTTTTTTGAGAATTGTTTTTTTTTTTTTTAAATCAAGCTGTGCAGCTAATGTTATTTGAACAGCTGCTGCTCAACCTAACTTGCCTACTGTTGCAGTTTCACACAGAGCAATCGCACAAGTGGGCAAATGATCTGATTTGTTTTATTTTAATTAGAAAACAGCGCAATTTAAAGAGAAGCTCCATTACCTTACATCTTCGTGATGCTTCACAGTTTTCAACCCCCCCCCCCCACTGTGTTAATAATTAAAAAAACAGAAACATATGATGTCAGCAACCAGTCAGAATATGCAATTTGTAGAGTTGAGCTGATTTTTATGTGAGTATTCCACAAATTGGAAAAACATGAAATTGTTGTTTAAGCACTCTTGACAATTTAGAATGTCCAGCATACCCGCATTAAAAATTATTTTTGGTTTATTTTTATAAAGATCACTAAAGCAAAACAACTGATCATGTATCAGTAAGATCTTTGTAAGGTGAGTTGAAAGTGAATTTGAAATTTGAGACCAGAGCAGTTGAACGGAATACATAGCTGACTTAGAGAATTTTCCAGTTCGGCAATTTGACCTTAAAGTTGAAATTCACTTGAATTCCCTTTGATTGGTCACCTTAGTGAATAACCCTATTAGTGTGTTTTCTCTTTGGACTGAAAGTTTCTGCCAAACGGAAAGTACAGGATTTTTTTTTTGTTTTTTTTTTTTTTACAGAGAACATTCTGGGGATGTTGAAAAAATAGTTTTTTTGACAGACAGCAATGATTTAAGTAATAGCATTTCGTCTTAACTTGAATGCACCATAAATTATTTAATTTGCAATTGTAGTTATTCCGGACTCGATATCGACACTATACAAAAGATCCCTAGGCATAATGAAGCAGAATACATGTGATTTAGATGGGGAGCAGGCTGACTCATATTCTTCCCAACAGATTTAACACAGTGTGATGCTGATGTAGATTTATATAGCAACCACATATATTAGACACCCGTGAATAATTCAATTATTATTACAATACATTCAACACCGATTGCTATAATTGACTAATTAAGCACCCAGTACTTTAATATACTATACAGTAATTGCTTTTATTGCTTGAACCATAATATCAACAGTTTGTCAATATAGGAGTTATTCCTATAATGCTTGTTTTTTTCTGCTCCTAATACACATTAGATTAGGGAAAGTATCCATCTCTCTTGTTGTGTTTTATTTTATTTTTTATTTATTTCTATTGCTTTAGGCTGTCTTATTTCTTTATATCAGACCTAATTTGGAAATGGTTTTGAGCATTATTCCTTACAGGGTCACTCCAAACGCCATAGCCACTTCAGTGATTTAAAGTGTTCATGGTGCCTGGATCTTTTTTGCGCACTACATTGTGATGCCTGTGTACTTCTGTCTATAGCATTTCAGTATGAGTTGAACCTCTCTACTGCTTTACCTTTGGCAGCATCATTAGGGGAATCATTAGCCGGACCAGAACAAAAGTTCCAGGCTGGCCAATGTCAACTCTGTGCAAATTTTCAGGCACAGAGTTATGTTCATTGGCTGATAGCAGTCAAATGACGCTCTCAGCCAATTAATGGTGACTGGATCAACTTCTAGCTTGTGCAGCTCTGCAGAAGCCATAATTGTGTCATCAGTGTTGCATCACAGCCACTGCAGCGGGCTTTGAGTAACCTTTGAACAGTAACTGGGGAATATAGCCTTAACTTGTGACTGATTCAGATCTTGCTTTGCGTTTGTATTCAGTGCTTATTTGTGTCTATATATAGTTTGGCTTGCTCATCTGTGATTACAGTACTTTTCATGGATTGTCTCTGAATTTGAACCTCAAAATAGCCCTGAATTGCTTTCAATGAGCTTTCCTGATGTTGCTAGGGCACATTTGCTAGGGCAGAGTTTTGTAAGTACATCAGTAATCCATTAGATATTAACAGGGAACTAGACAATATTTTGTAACTTATCTCATATCTAATAAATGCAGAAACCCACATCTTGTTACCCTGCAACTGTTCACCTCCATCTCAGCTTCCTGTCAATCATTGTTATAAACTTTGTCCTTTGCACCTTGCAGTCGTTACAGAGAAATTACATTTCCACTTGTTCCAATACGTTGGTGTTTTTCTACTTTTTGTATTTTATGCCTTGACAAAATTTCTTCCTTTTTTTTATTTTTGTATATTTATTAAGAAATCAGAAAAGAATTATTTTTTTTTATCAAAGACCCAATGTGACAGAGTGAAAATAGACCTTGATAGCAACGAGAACTACAAAACAGGCAAGATTTTAGAAAACATCAGATATTATTTCTATACTATGACTGTGATAATCGGCTTTTTAAACTGGACACAACAAAACTCAAATACAGGTCTACTTCAAATGCAGTCACACATAGCTTTACTCAATAAGCACACCCTTCAAATAGTTCGATATTAACATCCTTTTCAAAAGCAAAGGACGTTTTGATGCTGTCTGCTCTGTGCACTTCAGCAGAAATTAAAAAGTACAACTCATTATCTGCTCTCTTTAATATATTGCAGTGTCAAGCAACTTATTGAGCATTAAATCATGTAAAACTGCAATTTCAACTCTTTAGTTCTGATTTATTAATGAACCTATTTGAAAAAAAACAACAGTAAGACCTGTGGACATTGCGTTGCAATGTAGGATTTTATACTTAAACGCAAGTCTTGAAAAAATTACAAGAAAAAACAACAACAATGTGATCAAGTTTATATATATAAAAAGAGAATAATCACTCCAGTTGTTTATCTGTACTGTATATATTGTATTTCTCAGTAATAAAAAATTATGTGAAATATATTCTGTGCCACAACATTTCAACAGCCCATTCACAATATAACCCTCTGAGGGCCATAAGATATGCCCAACGCGTTTCTCATTAATGCGTTATTCAGTCCTCTGGAACTTGAAGCATTACAGGTTATATAACCATTATAATTGCTTGTAGGATTGTTCCCCACAGAACATCCAGCGCTGAGCAGGGGGATTTCTGTATACGTGTGTGCTGAACAGAATGGACCTGGAAATGGATATAACACAAATTTAACAGGACAGAAAAAAAATGGCATTATGGCTTTATCTCCTACAGAAGCTTATTTGCTTCGGTGACTAGTCACTGCTGGCCATTGCCAGTCCTGTGACCTGCGCAGCTTAGCGTCGATAATGTGATCACTGTGTAACAGAGGCATGCATGTATGAAACATATACACTTTAATGTTAGGAAGTCATCAATGCATGACAGAAAGAAACATACACATATGCAATATAGTGATAACATATAACATTTTACTTTACATACACACTAGACACACACAAAGTGTACACGTATATAAGATCTTCACATAGATGTTTGTAAGGGCTGCTCACAGCTCATCCAGCGCATCCAGTTCAAATCAATAGCTGCCAGGCAGCACATAAATGTTTAATAAAATGAAGTTTTTATTATTTGTAGAAATATTATTTTTTAATTATTTTAAAACCTTTAAGAATAGTTTAAAAGGTTAATAGAATAATTCAAACATACAAAAAAATGCTGGATTTGTACTCCAATGTGCAGTTTGTCAGCCCTTTCAATCCCCTATTGAAATTGTATTACTGTGTGCTCACATATATATCTATATACTTAGTTACGTGATAATTTGACTCTGGTCAGTATAAATACAATAGGCAAGTAAAAAGTTATTAATCTGGAATGTTACCCCTCTTGTGGATATCTGCTTTGTGATATCAGCTTTAGATGCTGTAAATAAGAACACATGTGTTCTAAGCCCAACACGGTTAGTGAGTATTTAGAATATCTCTAGATTTCTCCAGTTTTACATCTTTTCAATAGGTGCAGCTGCCTATAACTCAATTGTTTAGCACTCTAATTCCACAGCTGTACCTGAGTTTTCTCTAGTATTCCTGCTGTATAGAACTCTCTAGTATATCTTTACAATTGTCCCTGTAATATTTCCCAGATACCTTATGGGCACAGATACCTATACAAATGTTTTTATTTTTTTTACAATTTATTGGAATGTATTAATATAAATATTATTTTAGGGTTTTTTCTGCATTTAATTTAGTATTAAGACTTATTTATGTATACCTATATATTTGTTTTTTTTTAATTTAAAATTTACAAAAACTTTTCATGATGCAAAATCATTAACTTTATCAGCGTTCATTATTTGGTCCATTATAATCAAACCAAACAAACTAAGTAACCTTGTTACAGGGATAATAAAGAAGACAAAACACAGACACACAAATATATACAGATAGAAACACTTCACTTTGGTTCGATTACAAAACCCCTCCCAAAAAAAACATAGACCAAAAAAAAGACTAATTTCCAAAGAGTCCCGTAAAAAGCCTGCCCTTTTTTCTAGGGTGACAAATGAGATAAACAAACAAACTGATGGAGTTGATGAACGCACACAGGTGAATGTATGTTTGAACAATGTAGTTCTATTCTGGTCCCTAATTTACATATGTAAACAGTCAATATGGGTGATCTGCACAGGACTAAGACAGACAGTGTTTTCAATTTTCAAAAAAAGAGGCATCAAACACTCATACTTTTCCTAAGCATGCAATCAGCACTACAGTCATATAAGTCTAAAAGAGAAGTCTCTTGGTCCATGTCAAAGTACTGATGAGGGTTGGCTCCAAGCCTTCTGACTCATCTTTAAATTGTTCCCGTTCGTTGAGGACCATTGCTAAGAGGTGTGCAGTTTGCATCCAGCTCCCACATTGCACCATAACTGATTAAGTGTAGGTAAGAATGCATATTGACCAGCTCTCTTGGAAAAGACAAGAAGTATATTTAAGAAAGACTTAACGAGGGAAGCTGTGCACTGCATGTCCCTTTAGCATTGGAGACAAAAGGAAAAAGTGAGCAGAAAAGTGACAAAAAAACCTCAATATACATGATACAGATGGCAACTCAGCAGGATTTCATTGCATGCCTTTCACAACATATTCCAAGTTTCCAAGTATCACACCAAGTGAATCCCGATTACGAGATGCAGGGAGAAGATCTGTACATCAACATACGAATTCAGTCACTTTTATTTCCTTGCATCCTCATGGGAAGAGTGTTTTTACGATTTTTAATGTTATTTAGCAAATTTATGTGGAGCAGGAATATAACCCCTGTCTGACCTTCCAACTAAGAATCCTGTCCAGCACTGAGCATGTGTAGAATTGCTCCAAAATGGGCAGGAGTTGAATATTCTGCCACTGCAGATAATTACTTTTAAGAAGCAGTGACAGTCTTGGTCCATGCAATATTGTGTGAGGCAAAAAGCCCAATCTCCCAAATATGTATATAATCAGCAAAAGTCATGTTTTGTATGCACGTGTGTGTGCCTGCATTTATGAATGTATGCTTGCATTTGTTTGTGCAGATCATCCGATATTTGTGCTAAAGCTTGTTGTGCTAATCTGTGTTATCAATGTGTGTGCTTTTATGTATTTCTCTTGGTCTAGGTTTCCATTGGCTTTCCCTTTTTCTTGTTGCTGGACATGAGTTTGGCTGGAGCAGAAGTCTCAAATTGGTGGTTTTGGTTACTTTTTGAACATGTCTTGAAGTGGTCCTGGAAGGTACTTGAGTACGGTGTCCAAAATGCTTTCTTCTTCTTCATCATCATCATCCCCACAGCCAGGTGGGATTGCTTTCTTGGGACGAGTCAAACTGCCCTCACAAGGTTGTTCCATGGCAGCCTTCTCTTCAGCTTCCTTCTCCTCCTTCTTCTTCAAGCCATACTACAAGATGGAAAAAGAATAGGTCAAAGATATAGCGACAGCATAAGAATATCTATTGGGATGCAATTATATATATAAAAATATGTGTTTATTTTAGGAGACTTAACGAGTTTCAGAGCCCTTTGTGCATTTGTTCTGAGTTTTTTAAATTCATAAAAAAGTACTTTTTTTTTATTGCACCTGATTCTCTGCTGCTGGATTCCTGAGCTATATATCCTTGGTGGGGATAATACCACCTACGCCTATTGGATTGAGAAATCCTTACTTTGCTCTAATGCATGTGAGTAGATTTTTACCACTTTACTGTGTTTTACACTTTATTGCAATGGTGTGCACGATTGTGGTATTACTTCTCTTAGATATAGATATATATATCCATAGAGATAGACCCACATCTATATCTTAGAGGAGGGATCATACCACTTCACGCGATATCTCTGGAGCCAGTACTTAGGGCTTACACCTTTTATATATCCCTACTCTTGCTAATAAGCTCAGCATACTACACCATATACTTTTATTTGTCTTCAATATTTTATGATATCTATTGCCTCAAGGACTACCTGAAAATCCTGCACTACATTATATCCTTAGACATGGATCATTCTGTCCAGGAGTTTAAATCAGAGCTGAATTCAATCTCCCTTAAAGTGTGAGTGCACAAATTTATTTACCTATCTTTTCTATTATAAGAAGTTGTTAACCTGCTACACAATTAGTTATTTAAAGGAATTTACAGCTAGGAGTGGCAAGCAGGTGGGAGAATTGGTAGAGCAGAATAATCATTTGT